TCACAGCATGGGACTTGAAAACTTACATTAAAATTCTCTCCCAGTTTTCATCCCAGCACACCCTAAGTACTACACCCCTGTACCAAAGCCAGACTGCAGCCAAACTATATTCCTGTGAAATTATTCCAATAACGAAATATCACCATTTTCTTCATGAACCCTGAAAACTTGGGAGTAATCATCAAACACAGTATAAAGCAGCTAAGCAATAGGAATACTTAAACTATGCATAATTCCTGAGCACAATGGCAGAATAATTATAGCAACAACATACCAAACTCAAAATGAGCAGGGAGGCAGGAAGAGACACCCAGACAGAACATACCGAATTAAGGAAAAGGGGTCTATAGGGTCTATGAAGCCAGATCAGCCACGGGTCACAGTTGTCGTCATCTTTTTAAGTGCCCGTTTAAATCAAATTACTAAAAACATGGAAACCAGCAGCCAATGAACACACCAGTCTCTGTCAGCTCCAGGTGTAGGCAAGACCGAGGCCAAACTATGCCTATTTCAGACAATAAGCTTAGCTTTTGAGGAATACAACCCGTTGGAAAAACATCTTTGGGCAAAGTTAAAAACAACTTTTCTGGATGCCAGTCAGCAGAAAGCCTTTTCAGGAGCTCTGTTCCTCAGCAGCTGAATCAGTATTTGGAAAGCAATTTTTTTTAGAAAGAAAAAAACAATGAATAGTGTGACAAACTCATTTTAGCATTCATATTCAAACTGACGACCTGCAATTAAAAGAAAAATTGCTCAAAGACCATTACGGTTAAGATTTTAATACGAGTCACAAAATACAATGCGGAAAATGGGAATATGGCATACCACACAAGGAATAAAAATTTAAATTATTCACTGAACTTCCCAGTTTGAAAACATTTAAAATGCTGAAAATGGTGGGGTGACACACTCCATTACAGACGCAGAAAACTGTGAAACCTTTACTCATCTTCAGGAGCATCTCGCCCCATAAACAGCCTTAGAGGAGTCAGCAGGCCCTGGTTACAGTCTACAGCATGACAAAGTGACCTGTTACTCAACTGTTGGGTGTAGTATTTCAGTGAACTATATGTTCTTAAAGAAATTCTTTAAAAGTTCTGATCATCTGTTAAATAAATCAAGCAAGTCAGGTTGTGGCTATGTTCTCAGTGGTGTATTTAATAATTCCATAAGTCTTAGAATCCTGGAAGTTACCAAGCTTTAGAGAAATACAGAATGGACATTACTTAATCTCCCATCTTCATAAATCAGTAACTCCCCTCACCATTACCTTGCTGAAGATGAGTGAGCCAGCAATATACAGGACACAAAATGTTCCAGCGATGGAGGCTTTGGGGTGAGGGCAGTCAGGGCAACCACCTCCAAATCTCCTCTCCCCATCTCCGTGTGCCGGCCAGCAACAAGTTGAGGTCAAAAATGAAGAATAAAGATGAATGGACAAATCAAGGTGAAAAAGAAAAGTACTGCACTGGGGAGGAGACACCTGTAGAAGTTTCTATCCCATGTCCAGGCATTTCAGCGAGTGCAGGTGAGAATACACTCTAAGGCTCCCTGTACATCATACAGTAGTCTGCATTTCTGGGAAATACAGATACTTCAGTCCTTGACAAAAATCCTTACTTCGCCTCTTGATCTGGTAACAGTTCCCAGAAGCAAACATAGATATAAGAACTTATCTATCAGGGGACAACTTGAAAAAAATACAAATAAGACTTAAATGAAGGCAAATATCCAAGTTACAGAGAACATAATTTCGCATTTGGAGAAAAAACAATACTATGTAGACATTCTCCAACATGTTTTTTAATGTTATTAACAGAAATAGCACCCCAGGCTGTGCTCAAGCAGAAAAAGTGTGAATCTGTTTGCAATGTGAAGTGAAAGGGGGATCAAAAATACCATCTTATTAAATGGTATTTATTTGGTGCTAAGCACATTATTTATTCCATTGAGAAATTCACAAAATGACAGAAGGGTAACTGTAAGTAAGGTCACCACTTAATGTCAGTATCAAAGCTGATCCTTAACAGAATTTAAGCACCTGCCTTTTCTTTTATCTCAGCACAAAATGAGATTCTTTTCTTTTCTTCTTTTTTTACACTTCAAAAGCCATGTAACGTAACAAAATATACGCCAAGCATGAAGGAACAGAGAATATGCCAGCATCTTTCAGCAATCATCTTTCCCTTGTCATCCATTATGTCAGATTTATCTATTTTTGCTTAATTCTTGTTCCAGCAATACACAGCCTTCCTCGCTCTAGACAATCAGGCTGGTTGGGCTTGAACTCAATATGGCTTCTTAAAATAGTTGAGAAATATTGAAAATACGTGAAGCGACGCTTGTAAATTACAGCCTATTCATGAACTCATCTTCTAGCTCCAGCTCGACCTGCGGCTCCCCCAGAAAAGGGTCAATCTCTGATTTCTTCACCTCAGAAATTCTACCCAACTGCACAATATAAACATAATTTAAAAAATAAATAGCCTTTCTTTTATGGAAGTATTTTTCCCTGAAAGCTTAGGTATTGTATTTATTGCAAATCTTACCCTCTGTTTGTTCTGACTCTTACTTGCTTTTGATCCAGACCTTCCTCTACTAAAAATTACCCATCAGTTAATTCACCACTGCTTGCTTTCTGTTGCCGCTGCCGTTTCCCTCGGAGTTTTTGGACCCTCTGGACTGGCTTTACAGGACACCAGACCCACCTGAATGCTCTCCCTGCATCTGTCACCCTCCAGGCTGCTGGCTGTGCGAGCCTGCTCTCTCCGACGCTATTATCTGTAATATGCTTCAACAGCGTCTTTCCCCATTGCTTTATGAATTTACTTAAACGAATGGACTCTAACAAATTCAAATTCTTTAAGTGCAAGAAGACCTGATCAGAAATACATGTGCTGAAAAGAAAAAGCAACTATCATCACTATGTTCCCTTACTGCCTACGTAGCGCCGATCACAGGATTTTCTCAGTCGGCTGCTGAATCAGATGAAGTTTCTACAACGCACACACACAAAATCACGAAGCCTGACACGTCCAGTAGGATTTATTCAATCACAAAGTCATCACCGTTGCTCCAGCACAAATGACATCACTCGGGAACCCAACCTTGTCTACTGAGAGCGTGCTCTCCTGCGGCTACCAGTGCAACAAAGAACTGGGTTTGTGCAATAAAGAGATAAAAGTACTGTTGCAAAAAGTTTTCCAAATAAACTTACATTTTCTTAAGACGTTAGATGTGATTAAAGCAAGAAGAATTAAGGACTATGGTAAGAAGTGAGTACAACGAATTATTACTTAACTTACTAACCTGTATCTGCAATTAATCCTAAAACTTGTACCTAGCAATTAGAGGCAATACCAAGAGAAGGATAAAACACATCCGTAAGCCCTCGCAGGTGCTGCTCTGGGAAGATCATATGCTGCATAACCAAAAGCATTTAAGCACTTTGCTTGCACGAGTGGACTGAAAACAGATAAGTCAAGCTCTGCAGTTTTCTCCACGCTTGTGTTAAGACGCTTGGAAAATGGTTGGTAGGAAATAAAAACGACGAGTAATTTATTAACCATACCTCTCGCCAAAAGACACTTTTCTCGGGAAAGAATCACACAAAGGATTTGCACACATCGCAACCGCAATCCCCCCCCCCTTTTCCCTGAAGGCATTTCTCTGTCGCGACAGCTGACGTATTATCGCGATTCCCGCTGTGTAGTTGATATCAAGGGAAAGGTATTTAAAGCCCCAGGGTGCCGGCGTTGCAGAAGAGCCTAGGCGGGCTGCCTGCTTCCCCCCACCCCCTCGTCTCCTCACAAGGACGAGCCGGGGAGCTCCGGACTGAGGGGAGGAGGCCCCCGGGGAGGCGGGTGGGCCGGGGCCGCTCCCGGGAGGCGGCCCCGCAGCGCTGTCGCGACAGGAGGAGGGTCACGACAGCGGGGGTACCTCACGCTGCCTCAGAAGATGGGGGGAGGGGACACCCGGGAAGGACAATGGGGGGGGGGTGGGCCGCGCCGGTCCCGCCGCCCTGTGAGGTAAACGGCGGCCAACCTCTCTCCCGTACTTACTCTCGGTGCCCCTGCCCGGGCCTCATGGCGCCGCCGCCGCTGTGCCCGTTGCCGGCCC